TCCTTGTATGTCAATTAAACCTCTTTCCTTTATAAATTACCCAGTCGGGTATTTCTTCATAGCAATGTGAGAACAAACTAATTCACGTAGTTAGATTTGACATCACAATTTCCAAAGTCTAAAAGGCTATACTAACTTGGATGAAAAACATATTTACAGAATTTAGAAAAAATATAATATGCAGAAGCTAAAGGGCTGGATTTTCTTGGTTGGGAAAATATATTTTATGCAATTCCAGAGTTGAAGTAAAGACAAATGAATGTCCCCATAATGTAATCAGTAAGTTGAAAAATCAGGTGATTTTAGTCTTCAAATTCCCTTTTAGCACAGTAAGGTTTTATTTATTTTTTAACATCTTGGTTAGTAGATGGGTCAATGTTTAAATGGTCATTCATCATTTACCATATAAAAGAAAAGCTATGATCTGAAACTGATTTTTTACAGTTGCAGGCAAACAGAAATAATCATTTTCAATAACCTAAATCTGTTACTTGAAGAATGTCATCATTTTATCCTTATTTTGCTACTATTTACTTATATATAAGTCAGTTTTTGAGAGCTGCACCCTGCAAGTCCTGGCTGTAAACAATTTCTTCCAATTATCTATGATAGCAAGTGAGGAGAAGAAATAGGACTTTCTAGAAATCAAAGTTATATTTCTGACAGACTCAAAGAATGAGGCCAAAGGCACAAAGCCAAAACTGTAGCAGTCCTGGCTCCCATGATGGGCCAAGCTCCCGTATTCATGCTAGGTAGTTGGGTGACTACTAAAGTGTCTGAGAATAAGTGCCACACTTACTCTTAGGATAGTCCTTGTTCTTTCAGACATTCCAAAAATTATCATTCCAAATATGTAGACTTAACCTTTGTAAACATTTGCTACCTTTTTTATTAATAAAATGAAATTTGTTGGAATGAAGAAAAAGATAATAATACACACCCTAGTTGGGCAGTGGTCTTCATAAAAATTGATGAGTGACTTGACAAGACATAAAAAATTATTAGAGGAGACATCCTGGTGATTGAGAAAGAGTGGAAAAACTCTAGAGTCACTTAGAACTGATTTCAAGTCTTCCTTCTGTTGATAAGTAACTGTTCACGCAAGCAATGTTTCAAACCTTTTCTGGCCATATTCTTCTTATGGTCAGAAACACACACAAAAATTAACATTTGTGTCAGAGCAGATGTGAGCATGAAATAAAAAAAATATATAAGATGCCCACTAAATTGGCTATGTAATAGGAGCGCCATAAATGTTAATTCACTCCTGGTTAATCACTCCCAGACCCAATAATTCTCTTTGACTGTGTCAGAGCAACCTCCCCTACCATGGATATCCTTGGAATGTAATCCCAAGCCAAATGTAATTCAGACATATACTAAACCAGGTGGAATATATATAACAGGCATCATTTTAGATCCATACCCTCTTCTCTTCTTCCCTCCTCTAAGAACAACTGTTGGGTTGCCAACTATGTATCAGGTACCATGCCAAATCCTTTTATATTTTATTTCCTTTAGTTATTATAACTGCAATGAGGTGGTAGATATTATTCCAAGTTACCACAGAGGGGACTAAAATTCTGAGAAATTACCTAGCTCAAAGTTAATCAACTACTAGTTGACAATTCTGTAGCCACATCTTTTCCCCCTCCCCCAGTTTACCTCCCTCTAAGTTCTGTGATGTCAGAGAGGTTTCTGAGATATGTAAATTTGGCCTGAGTACTCACCCTGACAAATGACTCATACATGAGGAAAAATAAGAGCTTTAAGATTATTCTGCAGCTACTGGATAATGGCAACACACAAAATTTTTAGTTGCTCTCTGCTTGCTGGTTGATGGCACTGCACTGGGTTCCAGGGATGCCATGACATAATATTCCAGGAAACAGGAAAACTGCCATCACTTATCAAATAGTACATAGGGAGATAGTGGGAGAAAAAAAAAAAAAACCACTACAACCACGAACAAGGGCTAAGCTGAAAGACACAGGTACTGCAGGGTCAAAAATGTGGATATGGATTTTAGTAATTTCCTTCCCCTGCTATACACCTGTATTTATGTTCACTTTTCCACCACCTCTTTTGGGTTTCCAGGAAATATGCCTGGGAAGACATGGATGCCAAATGCATATCATTTATTAAACCTTCTCTCCAGAACCCTAATATGCTCATGGTCTCTAACCAGCAGAGGCAGACAGTGTGGAAACCACCAGGAGCCCTCAAGTTCCTTTTCTTTGAAGTCTAAAACTGAGTTAAACAGCCATCTATTTTTCCAAGGTCATCCTGTACCTCACAAAATCCTCCAAATCCATAGCTCTTATCCAAGGAGAGAGGAAAGGACATAGTTGTATTTAAAGAGTTTCTAAGCCTTTTACATTCCCCTCCAAGTGCTGAGGTTTTAGGCTCCCATAGTTTTCTTGTAAATTAACAGACCCTTCCTCATGGTAGAGTAGGCATTTAATGGCCAATGGAAGACCATTTGATTACAAAATACAGACAAAAAATAGTTGCACTTTTAGAATCAATTGCTTGGGAAAATAGAGAATGAGAAGAAAGTTACAATGAAATTGGTAACTGTTTTAGTCTGTTCTCATGCTGCTGATAAAGACATGCCTGAGACTGGGTAAATTATAAAGAAAAAGAGGTTTAATGGACTCACAGTTCCACACAGCTGGGAAGGCCTCACAATCATGGCAAAAGGCAAGGAGGAGTAAAGTTACACCTTACATGGCAGCAGGCAAGAAAGAATGAGGCCAAGTGAAAGGGGAAACCCGTTATAAAACCATCAGATCTCATGAGACTTATTCACTATCATGAGAACAGTATAGGAGAAACTGACCCCATGATCCAATTATCCTCTACCGGGTCCCCCCTACAACACGTGGGAATTATGGGAACTACAATTCAAGATGAGATTTGGGTAGGGGCACAGTCAAACCATATCAGTAACTTATAAAAGCAACCTTTTATTTTGTGTTTTTTGCTTGCTTGTTTGTTTGTTTGTTTGTTTGTTTTTGAGACGAGGTCTCTCTGTTACCCAGGCTGGAGGGCAGTGATGCAATCTCGGCTCACTGCAGCCTCAACCTCCCAGGCTCAAGTGATCCTCCCACCTCAGCCACCTGAGTAGCTGGGACTGTGGGCGCATGCCACCACATCTGGCTAGTTTTTATATTTTTTTGTAGAGACGGTTTCACCACGTTGCCCGGGCTGAACTTTTTAATTATTGGAAGAACATCTGTGTACATTTGAAAAATAGATAGTGATACATCTTCTCAGGGTACTTATTTAGTCAACCTCCAGGGAATTCTTGGTGTATTTAATGGGATTTATGGGCCCCTTGAAGTCATTTTGTAGCATTCCCACAAAAGAAAGCCCCAGCTACAGATTGAGAATCCCTATCTTGGTAATGGGAAGCTACTATGGATTTTGATGACATATACAAGGTGATGTCTCAGGGAGACTGATTGACAGATCATTGGAGATATATGGATTGACTATAAGGAGATTGATGATTACCATATCCAAATGTAAGATTTTGAGGTTCAAACCTAGGTAGTGGCAGTAGAGACAAATATTAGTTGATAGATACAAAGAATATTTAAAGTTTTAAAACTTTTTTTCACCTAGATGTTAGAAGAAAATGAGAGACTCCAAAATCTTAAGTCCTAGTGATTGGGAGATTGATGGTAGAACACAGTTGGCTTTGGGAAAAAGATAAATTCAATCTTAGCTATGTTGAAATAATGGTGGTTTACTCACCAGTGTGTGTGTGCAGGGGAGAAAATGTTAAATAGGCAATTAGAAATATGTGATTGAAGTTCAAAAGAGAGATCGTGACTATGACTAAAGGTTATGAAATCATTTTTGTAGAAGTGATTAAAACAACAAGAAATCAAGAATGTACTCTCCAAGATAAAGATTGAAGAGCTGCCACAGTAGAAGGTGGATCAGAGTCAACCAGAATTAGCCAACATTTTCTGTAAAGAGCCAGAGAATAAACATTTCAGGCTTTGTGTTCTAAAGGTCTCTGCTGCAACTAATTAACCATGCCATTGTATCCCAAAAGCAGCTGTAGACAATATTTAAATGAATTGGCATGGCAGTGTTCCAAGAAAAATCTATTTACAAGACTATGTGACCAGCTGCATTTGGCCTGGAAGCTTTAGTTTGTTGACTTCTAGTCTAGAAACTTAAGCTCCGTGAGGGCAAGGATCATGTGTGCCTGATTCTCTGCTGTACCCCCAGCAGCGAGCACAGCACCTGGTTTGCAGTAGGGTCTCAATAGACATTTGTTGAATTGATGAATACTGTGGTGGAATGACTATGTCCATATTTAGCTTTGTTGGAGCAACAAAGAAAACCAAGAGCATACTAAGTGAGTTATGAAGATAATTAATATCCCATGACAAAGATGAAATTAAGAAAAGAGAGTATCAACAAAAAAAAGGTCTAGCAACAATGATGACCCAAAGAGATGATGAGGAATGAAGAGTTATAAAAAGTTGCTTTTTTGACAATTAGTTGTAAGTCAGATATTTAGGTATAAAAGATCAGAATAAGAGACCACAGGAATGTTATCAAAGACAGACATATATACACAAAATAACCTGGGGGTTAGAGTGAAAGTTGTTTTGTGGAGTCTGCATGATTTAATAGTTACTTCTCTTAACATTTTTAAGTTTTTAATCAAAAAGATATTTTTTCAAGTATAATTCAAAATCTGTTAATTAGATTCTTATAAATCTAACATGAATTTGTAAACTATTTGAGGGAGAATCATACTTGTTTTTGACATTATGTAAATAAAATAACCAGCTTGAATAATTTTTTAAATAGTTGTGTTGATATTTGTCAAGTATTCTTTTAACTTTTTCACCTAAATGTATGAGCTTAACTTTTGTGAATTTCCAACTTCACTTTATGAAGTTGATATCAAGCATTGGATTTAAATATTTTCTTTTTATTATTGGTTTCCAACATTTACTTTTTCCTTCCAGATTATCTCACACAGAGCTGTTGGAATTACTTCGTGATGATTTCAAAGAAAATTTTCTTCTCTAAACACTCTTATCCCAAGGTAAATTGATGGATTTCTAATGAATAAATTCTGGGAGGAAAACATCAGCATTTTTATACTTCAATTCAGAGTATTTAATTCCCTCACCCTTAACTGTAGCCACCTGTCATTCTAAGTTTATGCAGTCATTTTTGACAATGGGAAATTATTATTTTTTGTACAATGTCGATCACCTTTGTGTCATTCGATACCTAGTGTGTTCAGTTTGTTATGCCTATACAAGTGAGAGAAAAACACCACCATAAACATGCCTAATCATGTCATTGAAGCTTTTCTTGGAATAATTGGAGTGTGATGATGGAGCAGGGAGAAAGGAGGGGATGGAAATTGAGGAAAAGGGTCTCAGCCTGAATTTTCCAAATTGGCTATTTATCTGGTTAATTCTTCATCTTTCCTCATCACCATGTCTGAATTGAGAAAATCTTCCTAATGATAATAAACTATGTCAAGAACAGATGGCTGATTTGATGTGATGAAAATAGCTATGTCAATTGAGGGTATTTTTTTCCTCACCCGTTTTGCTTTTCATCACTCTGGGGTTGGTGGTTCATGTATTTTTTTTCTTTCACAGAATATGCCCTCAGCCCAATATAATGTGGTGAATCTCTCCCCAAAAGCAATTTGGGCCTTTTTCTCTGAAAGAAAGAATGAAGAAGTGGCTTTAAAAAAAAAAGTGATTATCACCTTTCCTGCCTTTTCAGCCTTAGTTAAGTTACTTTTGGAAGGATCAGTTTACAACAAATGTTTAGTGTCAGGAATTTTACAGTTTCATAGGCCCTGACAGCTTGGCATGAAAAGAGGTGGCATTATGTCAATTTTAAATGAGTATGCCATTTACATACTAATTAAACTTTGCACTAGTGGGGTGAAAGAATGTCATTTTGAGCACCCCAGTTATTCTGTTTATATCATTGTTGTCTATTTAAACCATCTATTGTTTGGCATGTCACAGCCTCATCCCCTAAATGCCATTTTATGACCTCACACTACTTAAAAAATATTACCCCATTGCTTGACAAATCACACAGAATCAGTATATCTAAAAGCAAAGGGGATTCCTTGGATCACCTTGCATCCTTCTCACACCTTGTTTGATGATGATGATCGTAACAGTTAGCTTTTATTAATTATTCCTAAATGTCAGGCATTTTGCTAAACTATTTTTAATATCTTAATTCACTTAATTTTTAAAATAAGTTGGGAATGCTTATTACAACCTTTTTGCACATGGAGAAATTGGGGTTGCACAGTGTGTGGGTGAGCTCTTATTCACCATACTCCGTTGCCTTCTGCTTTACTGTGTCCATCGATCCACAAAAGGTCCCACTGTGGTCAGATGTGGATAGGGTTACCAAAAATATACCAAGCATAGGAATTTTACTCACTATCTCAACCCACTTACTTCAGAGAGAAAGTGATAAACATGAAAGAGCATTTGCATGTTACCTGATATATTATTCATTGGTTATGTGATATATCACTAATATAGGCTCATATAACATACGTATTTCCCATCACTTTTCAGTTGCATCTTACCAGTTGCAGTCTTCCCTGGTTTGTTGATGATGTCTTTACATAGAATTCCACGTGTTCTCTGTGAACCTGATTCAGGAATACTGATAGTGTCTGTTAGCTTATAAAATGAAAAGTGATTAATAGTATATTGGGCTATTTTATCCTCTTGATTCACATCCACAAATTTGGTTTGTTGGATTTGGTTAAGGACGTTTTTTCTCACTGGATAAGGAGCAGAATCAACATTAATATCATACCTGTGTAGGAGTTGGCTGACCAAGATTGGCAGTGACAGGAGTAAGATCAGAACTTTTCCTGGCTGGGTGTGGTGGGAGGAACCCACCATCCTTCTGGGTATTTATACACCAGTGCTGAGAGCCCAGAGTTGGCATTTCTTGGCATTGTCAACAGAGTGCTGGTCTGCACTTCTTTCTTTTTAAAAAAATGACAGAAACAGAAAGCCTAGATAGTTGACATTGAAATAACTTGCCAAGAGAGGGTTGAACATATGATCCCTTTATAGCTTTTTCCTCACTATTTTCTGCAATCTTCAAGGTTGAAATAATTCCATGATAGAGTCAAAATCCAGGGGAAGAAAAGGAAGAAAATGTACTTTAACTCTCCATAATTCCAACCACCATATCGCATTTCATGAAATGTGACATAGTTTTGCTCCACAAGCTTGCCAAGGGGAAAAATATATATATCTAAATTTTAAGCTGATAACTCGAATGGTTCCAGAGATATCAACTTGTGAAAAGTCACAATTTTGCATTGTGCTGAAAAGCCACCTTACAATACAGGGACTACCATCACTCTTTAATATCCAGCAGAGTCTCCCACTGTGCTTTGTCAGTCAGTAGCAACATCCAAGTCTTCCCGTAAAAGTAATTCACACTTTTTTCACAACACTGTTGCTTTAATTACCACTGAACTCTGCTGATGCTCAGACAGGCCTGGCAGGACCAAGGGAGGGTCAGAGCCACAAAAGAAGCAAATAGCTTTTTTCCCTCCTTACTTTATTATTAACAAACCATCTTTGATGGAAATGTTCCTAGTTCTGAGGCCTAGACTTAACTCTGGGCCCCCTTGGCGTATTCATTATCAAAAGAGACTCACAGATGCCATTCTGAGAGAGAAACACACACACACACACACACACACACACACACACACACACACACAGAGAGAGAGAGAGAGAGAGAGAGAGAGAGAGAGAGAGAGAGAGAAATACTACCTACAATCCTAATTAGAAATTAGAAATTTTGGCAAAGAACAAATTTAGCAATTCAAAACTGACAAACAATGGTTCTGCTTCTTATATAGCTTTTCTTTTCTGCAAATGAACTTACATTTCGTACTGTATAGTTCTGCTGGATGAACATCAATTTATCTATTTATTGTGGATTTTTTTTCAGGATTAGTTGACACAATAAATTATATATCAAAGGAAACCATAGAACTGCCAAAATCTACCAGTGCATAAAAGTGATATGAAAAGCCTATGGTTTATAAATAATATGACAGCAATATTATAGGTATAACATCTTGTGTGCATAAGGCACCTTTCATTCTATATCACAAAATGTGTCTCCACTGAAACTTTCCTGTGAAATGAATTTCTGAAGTCTCCTCCATGCAAAATAGAAAGGAATTTTATATACACTTTTGGGGAAGAATTAAATAAGGTTGTGAACTTAGGGAAAGAAACTGAAGGACTGCTAAGCTTTCTCCTGACTCTAAATTCCATGTTTTAAAAAATTGTAATTTAAAGTTACACTGTAGGCTTGCCTATGTATCATCAAGTACTTAATGCTGTCATTATTTATTATTTACTGATTTATAATCTGACTTACCACAAATGTGCAGCATTTAGCTGGAAAGTGTGGTGCTCTAATAAGTTAATAAATATAAGTGAAATAATCATCAGATTCTATTGCAGACCATTTGATTCATTTAAGTCCCCTATGATTTGATTCTAATCTTTCTTACAGACATCTTTATTTCCATCTGCGTATATCCTATACCTCAGTGGTTTCAAAATCTGATTGATCATCAAAATGTCCTGGGGGAGAGGAATTTAATAAATTAAAATACTCTAGAAGTAGGGTATTTTAATCTGTAGCTCTAAAGGGGCCTTGGAGTTTCAGATAATGTACTAGGTTTGGTCAATTTCTTGAATCAAACTTTTATTTCCTTACTTTCAATGCTTGTCTCTCAGCATCTTCTGTGGAACTCTTACTAAACTTTCCAGTCTTAGTTCTAATACTCCACACCCCATGCAGCATTTACTGTTTCTTCAGCCAGTAGTAGCCTCTGCTTTCTCAAAACCCTGATAATACTAAATACCTTCCCTAAGACTTAAACCTTCTGTGCTAAGTTGCCATTTTCTATATTTTCTTTCTCTTTTCTCATATATTTAGCTATAAATATGAGCTCCTTCAGGGTACAAGTTAAAACATTCTATCTTGAAACCACATTGTGTAAAAAAGGTGTACTCTATGCATCTGTGTAATGAATACATGGATTTCATTTTCTATGGCGTGTAAGACTGCATATGAAGTTGAAATGACCAACTTATGTTCATATCTTCATTTGTGTGACACAGACACAGTGCAGCAGACTGAATTTTCCAAAGATGGCTGCACTGATGTATATTCTATCCCACATGTTCTTAAAATGTTGGCACAATTGTTGAGAATCCTCCATTGAGAATGCTGTTTATATTCTTTCATCATAACCTGGGCAAATTTTTATAACTGCCTCAATCAAAAATAATGTGGTGGAAGTGCCCCTTAGTGACTTCTGGGGGTAGACTACAAAACCTGTAACACAGCTTCCTCCTAGATTTCTCCCTTGGGAATCAGACCCTGAGAGCCCAGAACTGACGTGTAACAAGTCTGGCTACCTTGGAGCCTCCTCGCTGGAGAGACCACACGAAGTGATAAGGGAGCTCCAGTGCTTCTAGTACCCAGCAATTTGGTTAAGACCTCAAACATCATGGAACAGAAAGAAGCCATCCCAACTCTGCCATAAATTCATGCAGAGGATCTATGAACATGGCAGGTGACCATTTTATGCCACTACATTTTGCATTAGTTACTCAGAAGTGGTAATCGGTACACCTAAGTTTAGTCACTAGAGACCCAAAATAAGCAAGATAAACAATATCTCTGCTCTTATACAGCTTCTATTCTATGCTAAAAACAAAACAAGTAAGATAGAAACCTTTCATCTTGTTAATTAAAACTGTTCTTTTTTAAAATGGCTTTATTGAGGTATAATTGACATACAATAAATTACACATATTTAAAGTATACACTTTGATAAATTTGTACATATTTACGCACCTGTGAAACCATTACCACATTGATGAAAATGAACATATTCATTATCCACAGCTACTCCCCTGTATCTTTGCAATCCTTCTCTGCACCCATGCAGCCACTGTGTTGCTTCCTGTCACTTTAGATTCATTTGCATTT